TTTGTGGTTCGGATAAGATGTTGAGCCATCTTGCTGAGAAATGAAGTATTCAGCATACAAACAGTCCCTGGAAATGAGCTCCAAACACCTACTTACTCAGATTGGAAAAAACCTGGTTCATTGACTCGATTCATTATTCAATCCAACTCTTAAAAGAATGGACAAGAAACTGACATTTTCAGGAAATATTTGGAACATCTGTAAGCTGCAGCAAAAATATGTTGTTACTGTTCTACGAAAGCATTTTGAATTGGCTGTTGCTAAAGTCTGACCCATTTCTCTTCTGCACCTCCAGGCAGAAACCGTGTTTACATCTTCACTGAGTTTTGACACGAATGAATGTTCACAGCCCTTTTGTTGTAAAAAGTAAAAGACAGTATGAACAAAGAGGTGAAGAAACAAAGAACACAATCACATTGTTCTACACCGGCGTCTCACTGGGATCTGTCTGCTGGTGACCAGGTTCTGTTAGGTCTCATTGGGCCTTTTATACAGAAGTCTAAACAACCTTCAATGACAGTCAGGCAACAGTTATGCAAGTCGTGCAAATCGTCTTCTTGCAGTTTAGCTTTTGTTGGGGTCTGAGTAGCTGTCCACCCCACAGCTGTCTCACATCATCTAAATAGTACCGCTCATGGAACGCTGGTTTCTGAAGGTCAGATTTCCAGCAACACAAGAGTTAGGAATGTTATTTGTTTATTTGTCACCAAGCGCATCGTCCCAGCGAGACTCTGGCTTTAGCACTGAAATGAAATTCAGATCTCCCGACCGACATCATTTCTCAATAATCACCACACAAAACTCAGCTTGCAGAGATTTGGTAGCTAATCATTCGTTGTTCTGGTTCTGACCAAAGTTGCATGATGGTCATTGACATTGTAGTCCATCAAACCGGTGAACTGTCACTTTAAGATTTGAGGTAGGGCTGAACAATCAATTGCTTAACAAACGAAGCAGCGGTTTTGAACAATAACAATGACACGATTGCCTAAGCTGCACTTTTTTGCTGTGCTTCTGACTGACCCAGGATCTGTTGCTGTAGTTTGATACATCCAGGGTCTCTCCAGGCCTCAAAGTGTTACGTCGGTAGCAGCGAGCATCAGCAGGGGAGGGGTTGGGGGGGTTGCAGGAGCCCAACGACATGCCGACGAAGCGGTGCATTTGGTCATTCTTATGTTGTTGTTTGCTGACACATGACACTGCTACGGTCAATATTATTTATAGCTGAGGGTGTCTGTCGCTCAATTTCAGTCTCTAACCTGGCCTTCCCACCATGCTTAAGTACCTGTGACCTCAGCGGTGCATCCTTACCCACGGCAACGTTTCAGATGCACATAAGCAGTCAAAGCGTTCTCTGAAGATGATCCTGTGAGGTCACAAAATCACCTGAAACTTCTAAGATCACACGCAATTTCTGGAGGTCAAGCGATAACGAGACAGACATGTATCTACATGGATCTGTGTTTTGTTTTCTGTTTTGTTTACCTCAGCTACGGAAGTGTCACAGGGACTTAGCGACACAACACCTCGTGGCTGGTGGGACCACATCAGGGTAAAACTGCATGCTTGTTTGTGGTTAACACATATATTTGAAAGAAATTCTAACCTTTAGTGCTTTTCCTAGCATTATTAGAGCAATGCACTGAAAGGATTTGATGGTATGATGCCTATTCCTGTCATGTCATGCTTGCTTATGGGGATTGTTATAAAGTCTCTGGCACAACAAGTCAGTGACTCGATGCAACCTGCTGAGTTTCCTGACATAGAAAACGTGATCTAATTGTCATAAAGAGCTGAACTCAGTGCACTGATAAGAAGGTTAAACTGGATGTTTACGTCGTGCTTTGAGGTTTATAAATAACCTGAACTAAATGGAACTGTTTACACTTGTTACGTGTACTGTGTTGTACGTGAACATGGTGATGAAGCTGGATTTGGAGAAAATTGCGACTCAAATTGAAATCCCAAATCAGTCTTTCTCCTGAAGTCATTCAGCCCTAATTTCATGATTAGTTTCTTCTCTTGCAAGCTGATTTTCATATTGCAGTGAAATCAGAAGTGGGTTATCCCCGAGAAGATCTCCACGTTAAACTGGATCTAGGTAACACAACACAATGGGCTAAAACAAAAGAAACACTGGCATGGTCCATTCATTTGAACTTTTATTGAAATAATTGAAACTTGTCTTTTTTTGAATATGAACTCTGTTATCAGCCAACAACACGTTTAAAAATGTTGAGTCATCAGACGGCCGCCTTCCTCCTGCCAATCACTGGCTTCAGCTGTGTCCTACCTGAGCGTCCACAGTCCGCACAGGAGATAAGGTCTTCGGGACAGCCGGTCTTCTTTGAGCCTCCAAGGCAAAAGTCGCAGTAGCCGTTGGCGATGACTGAGCCATCCGCAGCCTTCTTAGCTAAGAAGAAAAAGAGAGAAGAAGAAAAAATGGGATGTTTAGTTCAACTACACTCGAGATATGGGAGTCCAAGTTATGGAATGCTGT